GAGTCCACTCCACTGGGTGGGATGGGGGGATTGGGAGGGTGGAGTATGAGAATCTGACCTCTGAATGGTGAGATTTGGAGTCCCTTCTCTTCAGCTTTCTTGACCTAATCTGAGCCCATAGCTTCCCCCAGCCCCATAGGGACTGTTCTCACAGATCCCTTCCAGCCCTGCCCCATTCTGCCGGCTTCAGAGCATGGCCAGAAGGACCTATCTGGGGTGTTAAATCTGGTGGAGCACAAAGGAGATGGGGGTAGGTTCTGCTGCCTGCACAAATTGGGAAGGGTTGGGCCAGGGCTGTAGCTGGAGAGACCCAGACCTCGGTCCTAAGAGGCAGTGAGGCTGGAACACTTTGGCCCACACTAATGATAATGTTGCTACTCTTATTAATGTTGTTAGTAATGTTTAGGAAATATTAATCATAATTGCTACCACTTAAAGAGTGCTTAACAAAGCGGGCTGGGCATTGATTCTGCTGTGCTTGATGTAAGTATTGCATTCGGTCCTCACATCTACTGGGTATGACTACTTCAGAAATTAAGGTTCAGAGAATGAGGAATTTGCCCAAGGTCACCACAGCTAGTCCAGTGGTAGAACTGGGATTCCAACCCAGATTCCGGTTAAGGCTTGTGCTCTTAATCGGTCTACTTGGCAGGCTCCCTGCAGCCCTCGAGCCACTTGGCTCCTGCTTGTCCTATATTCTTTGAGGAAACCAGCCGGTAACTTGGTTGGAGAGGAGGTTTGAAGGTATAGATGATTCTGATCCTCCTTCTGCGGTAATTTAAAGTCATCCTGGATATCTCCACACCAGAACCATCCTGGGGCTCAGAGCAGAACTGCTCTTGCACTCACTGTGAGCCCAGCCCTGTACAGGGGCTGCAGGAGAGGAGGCCTCTGCAGGGAAAGTTATTGGTGGCCCAAAGTAGCATGAACGGATGCAGCATTCGGAGAGGGGAGGAGGGAAGGAGTGAGCCTGTACACCAGCGCATGCAGCCCACATCAAGGGGCGCCCCCCAAAGGATGGGCCATGGAAGACTGGAGACAGCGTTCCCAGGAGAGAAGTGGCTTAAGCAAAAGCATCGGGCGAGAATGCACATGGTGCATTTTTCTTTTTTTTTTTTTTTTTTTTTTTTGAGACGGAGTCTCGCTGTGCTCCCAGGCTGGAGTGCAGTGGTGTGATCTCGGCTCACTGCAAGCTCCGTCTCCCGGGTTCACGCCATTCTCCCGCCTCAGCCTCCCAAGTAGCTGAGACTACAGGCGCCCGCACGCCGGCTAGTTTTTTGTATTTTAGTAGAGACGGGGTTTCACCACTGTTAGCCAGGATAGTCTCGATCTCCTGACCTCGTGATCCACCCGCCTCAGGCTCCCAAAGTGCTGGGATTACAGGCTTGAGCCACCGCGCCGGCCACATGGTGCATTTTTCTAAACTGGGACTTCTCTGGCAGAGAGGTGGAAGGCTCCACGCAGGGGAATTCCGGGCATCTTGGAGAGCAGTGGGGCCTTGTGGGGTCAAGGCTCTGACTGCCTGGCCAAGGAGCCTACACACTGTGGCTGTCCCAAGTCTGTTCCTGGATAGGGCTCTGGTGGGGAGGTGAGCTCAGCCCAGAGCCCCGTGGACCACGTCGAGCCCACAGTAGCGTCAGAGATGGGCCTAGAGTTCACAGAGGCCCACCAGAGGCTGACGGTAAGGACCCTAGCCTGGCCTCTGGGGGTTCCAGAGTCTTTCCTAGAGCAGAGGGCAGAGGGCCTGTCTGCAGGCAGGTGGGGAGGCATGTGTCTTGGGGGCCTGGGAGGCACTGTACAGTAAAACTAATGAGGCCCCAGAGTCTACCACCTGGGCCAGCCCATGTGGCAGGCTGGCATGGCTTCTGGCACGTCAGCATGTCCTGGCAGCTTTGGGCCCCTGAGAACTTAGGAAGAGATTCTTAGGCCCCTCTCTGAGCCTTCTGGGGGAGGGTCTGTGGGATTCCATGCTCTGAGCAGGTGGTGGCAGGGAGACAGCCCAGGAGTGAGTAGGCCCAGAAAATGGGGGCAGAGTCCACTCCACTGGGTGGGATGGGGGGATTGGGAGGGTGGAGTATGAGAATCTGACCTCTGAATGGTGAGATTTGGAGTCCCTCCTCTTCAGCGTCTCTGGGCAGAAAACAGAGATGCTTTCTCTGGCTTCTACCAGGGTGGGTGCTGGCGAAAGTGGGAGGTGAGGTGGGCGTGAACTGGGCGCTTTTCATAGGGTGTCCCAAAGTGTGAAAGGTGCTTGGAAGTTTCACCACTGGGATGCTGCCCTTTTCCTCCAGAAACCCTGCCTGGGGTCCTGCCCTGCCCTGCCCTGCCCCCTCACACCTCTCAACTCTCTCCATCCTGCCCCCTAAGTTGGCCTCGTGTCTGAGTCCTGGTGGGTCTCACCTCCTGCAACACATCCTGTGCTCCCTGAGGACTCCATCCGGGTCTCTTCCTTTTAGAATAACAATAGGAGCACTGAGAAGCAGACAGCTCTTTTTCTGTATGGAGGGCACCGTGCTAAGCACTTTACATGTATTTTTCACTTGATCTTTCAATAGCCCTGCCAGGCAGACACTACTATTAGCCTCATTTTACAGATGAGGAAAGTGAGGCTCAGAGTAACATAACCAGGGTAGAAATCCAGGTCTTTCTGATGGTGAAACCCATGTACTTGCCCTCTGTGCTCTGCTTCCTCCTTTGTCTTAGAGCAGGACAAGCTGGGGGAAGGCATTGGGTTTGGATGCTGGCCTGCACCTGAGCCTTACTTCCCTGTCCTGACATTCTGTAAACAGACTGTGGTTCCTGCCCAGGCCCTGGGGCTGGGGCTCTGATACATAAATCATTGGCTCTCTCTCTCTGACTTCTTAAGTGACTCATTCCCTGCCCCCTGGGCTGCCAGCCTCCCCCTCCCCGACCCACAGCCCAGCTTTCTCAAGGCCCTTGTTGCCTCCCTCCATCGGTTCTCACCTCACTGTCTGATTGCGCCCACTGAGCCACCGTGTCTGCGGTGGTGGAAAGCTGGTGGGCCAGGAGAAATCCAGGCAGAGGAGGAAAAGTGTGAGACCAGAGCTGGGTGGAGGTGGGTCAGAGCCTTTCCAGGAAGCTGTCCATCAGCCAGCTTCTAATTATCATAACTCTAGTGGGGAGTCCCACCCCTGTGCCAGGCCCACGCGAAGCGCTTGAACTGTGTTGTCTCATCAGTCCTCCCAACAGTCCAGTGAGTTGGTACCAGTATTTCTGTTTTGCTAAAGTGGAAACTGGGTCTTGGCTATCGTCCAAGGTCACACAACAGTAGTGGCAGAGCTGGGATGTGAATTCAGGGTGTCAGGCTCCCAAGCTGTACCACAATCCCAGGGTCTTTGGCCCCTCTGCCCTTCCTCTGGACCCCTTGTCTTGAAAGTTAGAGAGCTATGAACCAGAGAGAAAAGGAGACTGGGCTCTTGCCCTCAGGAAGCTTCCACTCTGGCTGGGGAGATAGAACCCACACCCACATGGACAGGGTATTATTATTAGCATTATTGCTGAGGTGGCTGACCAATGACTCAAGTGAGACTGAAAGAGGGCAGGTTCCGAGTGTTTCCTAAGTTGGGCAGGATAGCTCTGCCATTCTGCACGGAGCAGGATGTTCAGCAACCCCTGGCACCAACTACCAGAAGAGCCCTCCAGTCACTGTGACAACAGTTCCTCCTTATTTGAAAACCACTGAAGACCAGGAAAGGGTTAAATTGAAGGGGTCCTACTCACCAAATCCAATATGCTTGTCTCAACTCCTGCATCTCTTGTTTTTTGGGTTTTTTGCTTTGTTTTGTTTTGTTTTGCATTTCATCCAGAAATATTTGAAGAGCATCTACCAGGCACCAAGCTCTGGGTCAGATGGTGGGAATAGAACATTGATAAGTTGCAGGCTGGCCCCCAGATGCTATACCTGGGTGAGAAGTCACAGGAGCTGGCCCGAAGGGTGCGGCGGCTCAGGCTTTGGTTGAGGTATGCCTGTGGTGCACAGAAGATGCCCCCCTAACCAAGGCCTCAGGTGTCCTTGCCAGTCAGTCCCTTCCAGCAGGAGTAGAGTGTGGCAGGCACGTTTCCAGGCAGCAGAGCAGGTTGTGATGAGAGGGGTGTAGTGGAGGGGCGGAGTGCAGTGAGAGAAGGGCTGGAGGGGTGGGTGGGAATGCATTGCCTGATTGCTCAGACAGGGCATTGCCAGGTCTTTGGGAATTTTATACAGGGAAGTCACATGATTGGATCTGCCTGCAGCATGGAGGGTGGAAGGCAGGGGGGCTCCTGCAATACTCCAAGCCAGAGAGAGAGAGAGGTGCCCTGACCACAAAGGGTGGTAGTGGGTGGAGGGAAGAGGGCAGCTTTGATAACTGCCTGGGTAGAAAAATCAACAAGTCCAGGTGGTTAATTGGGCGTAGCAGAGTGAGAGTTAAGGATGATGCTGAGGTCTCCGATTGGGTGACTTAGAGGATGCATGACATTCTCTGCAGGAGGGAATGCAGGAGACGAAGAAGGGGAGACAGGGAGTTCCCCTCTAACCTGTTGAGCATTACTTGTGTCTGAATAGTCATGTCTGCCCAGTTGGTAGTTGAAAATTAGAGACTAGGGTTGAAAAGGAAAATATAGATCAGAAATATGGGTGAGCAAGTCATGTGGTTGAGTGAGCCCACCTAGGGAGAGCATGGGGGAAGAGCTGGAGAGGACCCCACATCGAGGGAACCACGCAGACTGAGAGAGACCCTGGAGGAACTGAGGAGTGTGAGGGAGGTAGGAGGGACCCAGGGGTCATGAGGAACTAGGGAAACAATGATAGTGACCAGATGTTGAGAAGCCAGGCAAGATAAGGACTGACAAGTATCCACTGCACTCAATAAGGTCCTAGTGATGTGGCAAAGCCAGCTCCTGTTGGGTAGTGCTGAAACTGTGTTTGTTGGGTTGGGAAGATGGAGGAGGGGGCATGGTGAGTGGAGACCACTTTTTCAAGAAGCCTAGCTGCAAGAGAGGATGAAGTGGCAGTAGCTGGAGCCAGGGAAGGTGTTGGTTAAAGATGGAAAACAGCTGAGGAGGCTTGTGTGGGAGGAGAGGTACCAGTGGAAAGATTTAAGTAATGGAGATCCCCAGGCAATTAAAGGGATGGGAGGATTGGCCTGGGATGGGAGGAGAGACAGGAGGGACAGGAGGGCAAGTAGCACCACATGATATTTGCAGGTGGCAGGCAGGGAGCCAAGGGAGCTCACCTCATTTCCAGTCTTTCTGGAACACCAGAGGCAGACTGTGCAGGAAGAGTGAGGGGGCCTGGGAGGCTTGTGGATGGAGGAGGAAGCTTGAAATTGTGGGTGAGAGAACTGAGGAAGGATATGGGGAAAGGATGGCAGTGCCATGTTCAAGGCCCATTGGGGGTTGGAAACTACGCATTGGTGGCACCGCTAACCTAGGTAGGCAGGGGAAAGCTCCACCCTTGGGTCCCCAGCCATCATCTCCCACCTCCTGGACTGGCCTCTGCCTCCACTACTCAGAAAATCTCAGTCCTCCATCCCTATCTCTGGATTGCCCTCAAGCTGCCTGCCAGCCTCTCACTGGACGTGGCCACCTGATATAAAAATTCATCCGACAGGTGCCACTTCCTGATTGTACCAGGTGCTGGCAGGACAGACGAGGGCCTTACCCTTGCTGAGTTTACAATTTAATAGGCTAGACCAACAGTAAAATAACTAACAAGATCTCTCCAGGTAATGATAAGGGCTGAGAAGGGCCTATGTGGGGCAGTGGTTATGAGCAGGGACTCTGGAGCCAGAGTGCCTGGGTCCTCATCTTGCTTCTGCAGCATGGTAGCTGGATGGCCTTGGACAAGTTGCCTGACCTCCCCGTGCCTCAGCTGTAAAGTAAAGATGTGAGGATTACATTCATTGATACTCATAAAACACTTTAAACTGCCTAGCACGTGGAAAATGCTGTATATGGGCTTTTAAAATAACAAGAGTGTCTGAGGAAGCCACTTTGGATTGAGTGGTCAGGAACAGCTGTCTCATGTGACCCAAGATTCCCTGTTTCTAGAAGCAGGCTTGTCCCATCCTTTTGCTCTCTTTTGGAACTGGACCACCACCCTGCCCACTGTTAGGTTCTAGGATGACCGTGGCCTCCCCATCCCATCCCGCCTGGCTGCCCTGTGGGTGAGGGTGGCAGAGAGTGGCATAAACAAGGGGTCTCGGGGAGAGCCCAAGAGAGGCTGGCTGATTCACCCATCCGTCTGTCTCTCACAGTGCTGTGTTCTTTGCAACCTACCTGACCCTGGCTTGCTGTTCTGGACCCAGGTATGCTAATGGCTTGAGGAAGAATTTGTGGGAATATGAGCAGGATCATGAAAGTTCTGGCCCCAGCCCTGCCTGCCACCAGTGAGCTGTGCACCCCTGAGAGGGCCTCATCCCTCTCTGGGCCTCTGTCGAGCAGGCAGCCCCTCCCTCCTTTACTTCGTGCCTCTGAGGTAGGGAGAAGGGGGATGGAGAAGGGAGCAAATGGGGATGTGGCTGAAGGAAGAGGCTCTGAGGAGTGTGGAGGGGGTTGGTCAGAGACCCCCTCACTGCAGCAGTGACACAGCCCCCACCCCCCACTCTCCCCTGAACTCTGTGGCTTGCCTTGCAGGAGGCATTTCCCCTGGAACCTGATTCTCCTGACCGTCTTTGTAAGTGATCTGGGGTGTGCTGAGGACAGATGCTGAGTGGAGATGGAGAAAGAAGGGAAGCAGGGTAGACTGAGGACCAGGAAGACGGGGCTGGGGATGTCCAATGTGAGGTCCCTGGCATGGGGCAGGGGTGTTTTCACCCCACTTCTTCCACAAACACATTCCATCTTCTCTTTCCAAATGGGCTTAATCTCGCCCCGCTCCCCATCCACTGTCTTTTTTCATTGTGAATTGTTTTAAGGGGTTTGCCTGAGGCATTCTAGAGCTATGGTAATGAAGAAGAGTGGAGGGGCTTAGAAGCAGGGAGCAGGGCTGCAGAAGAAAGGCACAGCTGGCACAGAGCCTGAAGCTGGCAGTGGGGACACTCCTTAGCCAGGCCTGACTCCTGAAAGTCAGTATGTGTGGGGGTGACAGAGACAAAGAGTTGAGGGGTACCTGCAAGGGACGGGGACCTGGGCTGGACCTTGAGGGTACCTGGGCCCCCGCAGTCTGAGTTTGGAGCATTCCTTTACCTTGCTTCTCATTTCAGACCCTGTCCATGGCCTACCTCACTGGGATGTTGTCCAGGTAAAGGGAGCAGGTGGAAGGAGAGGAGGACCGTAGGCCAGGCTTGGAGCCAGGCACTGGCCACACCCAAGGGGCGCTGCCCCACACGCCATACTTCCTGGGAGCATGTAGATGGGGCTGGGGCTCAGGAGTGCAGGAGGCTTTGGCCTAGGGTCCTCTCCTTGAGCACTCAGCTGGACAGCAACCCCAAGACCTGGCCTGGTGGATAGGGGGAGGGGAGCAAGGTGGCTCCTCCCAAACTGTAGCTTACAAGCCCCCAGACTCATGACCTGCAGTTACTTGTAAACCACCTCTGGGTCCGGCACAAACCCCTCCCCACTCCCACTCCCACCTCCTCAAGATCCTTCTAATTTGATTTTGAGTCTAAGCCTGTTGGGAGGGGCAGGGCCCAGCAGAAAGGCTGGGGAGGCAGACAGAGGGATCTGGGGAAAGGGCACCAGATTAGGGCCAGGGATCCCAAGACCAGGTCCTGGCAGAAGAGGGGGCCCTGCTAGGAGGGTGGGGGAGACCAGACGCCCTGCCTGGGAGATGACCCCTCGGCTTGACGGTCCTCAGCTACTACAACACCACCTCCGTGCTGCTGTGCCTGGGCATCACAGCCCTTGTCTGCCTCTCAGTCACCGTCTTCAGCTTCCAGACCAAGGTCAGCTTTGGGGCTTGCAGGCAGGGACCCCCGGCCTGAGGCTGAGCAGGGGAAGGCAGATAGGGTGGGGGCGCTCAGAGCTGGGACCCAGGGCTGGGGAGAGAAGTAAAGGGGTGAGTTGGGTCTGGGGAGAGGGAGACAACCTGGTGAGGGCGAGGAGGGGAAGGAATGCCAGGTTCTTGGAGTGAGCACAAGACTGTGGCCTGCTGTATGCTTGTATGCCTGTATGCCTGTATGCCCATACAGGCTTGGCCCATACAGGCTTGGCTGTGGTTGGGGTCCCAGGAAGGTCAGGCCGCTCTGGCAGCTGACCCCATCCTGTCCCCGCAGTTCGACTTCACCTCCTGCCAGGGCGTGCTCTTCGTGCTTCTCATGACTCTTTTCTTCAGCGGACTCATCCTGGCCATCCTCCTACCCTTCCAATATGTGAGTCTCTGGGTCCCCCGGCAGGACCCACAGGGAGGGAGGGGTCCCACTGGCCCAAGGTGCCGTTCCCTCCCCTGCCCACCAGGGAAGTCCAGGAGCCAAGGCCTCACAGCCTGCCATCCTGTGCGGCCCCTCCTGGCACCTGTCACAGGCGTGCTGGCAGTGTAAGCAAACAAGGAGGCTTTTCTTGTCAGGCCTGGGTAGCTGCCGGGCTCCGCAAGCCACATCCGGCTTCACTTTTCCCATCCTCCTCTGTGGTGTGGAGGTGAGATTGAGGGTAGGGTGTGGAGCATTTAAACCCTGGGCAGGGAAGGGAGTACTGGGGCTCCATGAGGCCCACCAGACCCAGAGGGGCCTGAGGAAGGGTCTTCTGGGGGCTCCTGTGGGATCAGCCAAGTCCAAAGAGGTAGAATCTAGCTGGCCAGGCAGGCGGGAGGTGGGGCAGTGGGGCATACCCACATCCTTAGAGCATCCACCAGCTGGTGGCCAAATCTCGGCTCTTTTAGAGGTGTCCAGCCTGCCCTGGGGAATTAAACTGAGACTCTGCAGGCACCCGGGCCCCTGCATGTGGAGAAGGGGCAGATTGGGGGCATCGCAGAAAGGCTCTGAAATCTGAATCCTGGGAACCCAAGAGATGAGCTGTTGGACTGCTGCTAGGGGCCCAGTGCTTATACCCCTCACCCCTATAGCCAAACATGGTGCATGGTCCCCCACTGCCCTTTTCTAGCAGGGCTGTGAGCAGTAGTCCTCACTTCCCCCTCCCCACCTCCATCCTGCCCAACCCCAGCCTCTGGGCACTTGGCGTCCATTCCAGGATGTCAGGATTGGTGCTGGCATTTCCTTGGCTCTTCCCAGGATCCTGTTGACGAAGGGAGGGGCCAGAGCTGGCCTGGGGGCCCTCTGTGTGTCTAGGATGGGGAGGAGTGTTACAGGAAGGGGCCACAGAACTTCAAAGAACCCTTTATTGATCCTGGTCTGGTTGATGGGATGCCTTTGTTTCCGAGTCTTCTGGAGGAGGGCCCCATGGAGGGCCCTAGTGCGATGCCTCCAGCAGAGTTTTCCCCACAGTTGGCTGCTCCAGACCTGGAGGGAGACTCAGGGGGCAGAGGGTAGGGAGGTGCTGTTCCAGCCTGTGCAGGCAAGCCCACCATCACAGCTGAGACTCCAGATGCCCCCCACACACACCCCTGAGGTCAAGTCTTTGTCCTCTTCTTCCTGAGTTCTTTGCCTCCAAGGCACAGCCCAGGAGCGCCCTGACACAAGAACAGACAGATCCTATGCTGGACAGGGATGAACGCACCCTGGGAGGTGGGAGCAGCCTCAAGCAGTCCCAGGCCAGAGGGAGGACAGGGCCCACCGAGAGTCATCTTCATCAGCCCTGAGCCCGGGGTTGTGTGCTGCGGGAAGAAGGACCAGGCTGGCGGGGAGTTCTCCCACCGTTCCCACCAGGATCACTCTTATCCCATGCCGCACTTCACCCACCCTGGGCACCCAGAGAATCAGGGTCCACTGTCAGTCCTGGGGCTCCTGAGGGAGCGCTGGGCGGGGCTACCCCATGTCCTCCATTCTCTAGACTGAGCCCTCCTCCCTGCCCCTCTGACTGCTGCCCCTTCTTGTCATCCCTAAGTCCGTTTTTCCTCTGCCGCAGGTGCCCTGGCTCCACGCAGTCTATGCAGCACTGGGAGCGGGTGTGTTTACATTGGTGAGTGTGGTCTGGCTCCTTGGCAGCCGCCTTCCCAGCATCCTGACCATCACCCCAGTCCCCTTCTGCTCCCATCTTCCCCACGGCCCTCCTCCCTGGATCCTTGGGAGCACCTGTGGATAGGGCTAGGTCCAGCGCTGCGTTTGTTTGTTTGTTCGGGGAATTCAACCTAGTTTCCAGGACAGACCAGCTGATGTGGGCAGGAGGGAAGATTGTAACAGCAGGTTGGAAGCTGTAGACAAAGGCAGAGCTGGGAAGAGGCACCCCTTCCTTCAGGGGAGGGGCAGCAGTGCTTGCGGGGGCGGGAGAGTGGGTGCATCCTGGCCATGTGGACCAAGTTAGTAGTTACCCTCCTAGGGGCAACTGGGGAAGACTTCTTGGAGCTAGAGGGATTCTAAGCACCCTGAGAGACACTGTTAGATTGAGCATGTTCTTTGCTCTTCTCACAAAACTGAAAATGTTGATGATGATGATTATGGTTGGGATAACAGTAACAGCTAATATTTATTGAACACTTGCTTCCCCCCAGCCAGCTCTCCATATGCATTTAATCGTCGTCTTAAGTCTATAAGATAGGTTCTACTGTTAATAAATTAAGATGGGGAGGCTGGTCATGGTGGCTCACGCCTGTAATCCCTGCACTTTGGGAGGCTGAGGAGGGTGGATCACAAGGTCAGGAGATCGAGACCATCCTGGCTAACACAGTGAAACCCCGTCTCTACTAAAAATACAAAAAAAGTAACCAGGCATGGTGGCGGGTGCCTGTAGTCCCAGCTACTCAGGAGGCTGAGGCAGGAGAATGGCGTGAACCCAGGAGGCAGAGCTTGCAGTGAGCTGAGATCGTACCACTGCACTCCAGCCTGGGTGAGAGAGCAAGACTCCGTCTCAAAATAAATAAATTAATTAATTAGTTAAGATGGGGAAACTGAAGCTCAGAGATATCAAATAACATGCCCAAGGTCGCACAGCATCCTAGGAAGTGACGGGGCCAATCTGGGAACCTGGACAGTCTGGTGTGAGGCCCCCTTGGGGTCTGAGGCTAAGTGGGGAGTGGCTGGAAGCAGATGCCCAGGAGATGAGATGACCAGGGACAGACGCCTGCCTGGAGCTGCCCAACACTTGCCTTCTGCTCAGGTGGGCTCCACGCAGCCGAATGTGATCGTGTTCCAGGACCCACCCAGGTGGGCAAGCTTGTACTGGTGACATCCTCTTGGGAAGGCATTCAAGGTCAACATTTATTTACAATGGAAGCAGTGACCAGACTCTCCCCTCCCTAGCTGGAACGTTCAGCTCAATACAAGTGGCCAGAGTTGCAGCTTAGTCCAGATTCCGGAGGCTTGTGGGCGACAGGCTGGGGGGGCTGAAACGGGGGACGGGATGGGGAGAGAGCAGTGAGCAGGGGTTTTGGGGGATTTGGATAGGGATCAAGCCTGAGGGGGGGTGTGTGGCAGGTTCATTCATGTGTCCTTTCCACAGGTCTTTATAGAGCACATACTGTGTGTGATGTGCAGCGTGGCTGCCCAGATGCCTGGTCAGCAGGGAGAGTGCAGTGCATGGTGCAGAGTAGCACTCAGCCAGTATTGTAGAATGAATGAATGACCTCCAGGCTTGGAACTGAAGGGCTGGGGTCTAGTGAAACTCCCAGCCCTCTTCTTACAGATGAGAAAACTGAACTCCAGAGAAATGGAATTATTTGTCCGTGGTTTCCCGGCAAGATAATGGGTCGATGTGGCCTTGATCAAGACTAAAGTGTCAGCTTATTCCAGGCTACCTAGGACTTCCCCAGTTTCAGCACTGAAAGTCCCACTTCTTGAGGAGCCCTTAAATCCTGGGCAAACTGGGAGCCTGGTCACCTGAAGAGACTAACTTTTCTCAGACCCCGCACCATGCTCTTCCCTCCAGGCAATACTTCCTAAAGAAAGATTTGAAAGGATGTGGTGGGGAATTGGATTAGGAGAGAAAGAGGAGGGCCACATTCGGGAGAGCTAGTCTGGGCAACAGCACCTGGAGGCCCTAGAGGGAGGCATTTGCAGGGGACAGAAGAGGGGTCAAGCCAGGGCAGACAGGCTGGTGATGTTGGAGGCAGGGAGCACCCATGGGGGCCGGCCAGGGAGTTTACTTGGCTTCCCGTGGATCAGGTCACAGTGAGTGTGTGAACCACCCGAGGGAGCCATGCATGCAAGTAAGGCTGGGTGAATAGTAATCCCTTAAATTTGTTTGATAAGCCCTAGTGCTATTAAAATAATAGCAATAGTCCCCACCCTCTGCTCTACCCTTTATGTTTTACAAAGCACTTTCACACCTGTTACCTCCCTGCATCTCCACCACAGTCTGGCCAGGGAGTGGGGGCAGGCAGCCCTGGTGCTGTAAGACTCACTTTCCACATCTGAAGCCCTAGGTGTTAAGGGGCTGGCACAGAGTCTTTTTTTTTTTTTTTTTTTTAACGGAGTCTTGCTCTGTCGCCCAGGCTGGAGTGCAGCGGCGCGATCTCAGCTCACTGCAAGCTCCGCCTCCCGGGTTCATGCGATTCTCCTGCCTCAGCCTCCCGAGTAACTGGGACTACAGGCACCCACCACCACGCCCAGCTAATTTTTTGTATTTTTAGTAGAGACGGGGTTTCACCATGTTAGCCAGGATGGTCTTGATCTCCTGACCTCGTGATCCACCCTCCTCAGCCTCCCAAAGTGCTGGGATAACAGGCGTGAACCACGGTGCCCGACCATTCTCTCTTGATCCTCTTAAACACACTCTCATCCAGGTTTCAGGGACCTCCGTGTAGCTAAATCCAGGGACCCAAACTCAGTCCTAATATTGATGGACTCCCAGAAATATTGGATACAACCGTTCCTTCCCTCCACCACTCTCCCCAAAGCATCTTCGTCCCTTGGTGTCCAGGCCACCAACCGCCCAGGCTTTTCTACAGCCCTCTTGATCCTGCAAAGGGCCAACTCTTCTCTTTCTACCCTGCTCCCTCAGGGCCTCAGGCAGCCTCAAAGCTTTGAATGCGATATTTTATGATGATTACTCTAACATTTACATCTCTAGCCTGGATCTCTCTCTCTTGAATTCCAGACTAGAATTTCTGGTTGCCTAATGAGGGTCTGCATGAGGAAGGCTCATAGGCACCTCGGACTTCACATGTATAAAACCAAGCTCCTGCCCCTTCCCCGGGATGCCTGCTTTTCCCAAAGCCTTCCCTATCTTCCTGTAACTCAGAACAAATGCTTTGGTGACACCTTCCACTCCTCCCCTCTCCTCATCCCCCACATCACACCCCAGATCAATGCTGTGGCCCCTACGCCTATCCAGAATCTGACAACTTATCTCTACCCTCATGGCTACTCCCTGTCCCAGCCCCCATAACCTCCAGCCTGGGTTGATTGTTGCCATGGCCTCCTGCAGGCTGCCGCTATGCCCTGTGTCTATGCGGGGCACAGCAGCTGGAGTGTTAGGTACCCTTGTTCCTCTGTTGAGCATCCCGCAATCGCTTCCCACAGCCTGCAGGCCCTCTCTGACCTCCCCACTCTCCTCTGCTGTAGCCACACTGGCTTCGTGCTGCGTGATCATGGCAGGCTCTCTCCAAACCCAGGGCCTCTGCACCTGCCTCTGTCTGTTCTTAGGGACTGCTCATAGTCCTCTCTCCCATCCTTCAAGTGTGTGCAGCTCTGTCCCTCCCTCTTCCTCCCTACTCTATTTCCCTCTCTCTGTAGTGCATCTCATTCTGACACACTGTCTGTTTTTCTTGATGTATTGCTCATTGTCTGTCTCCCGCCAGCAGAATCTAAGTTCCTTAAGGGCAGGGATTGTAGTCTGGCTTGTTCATCACTGCAGCCCCCATGCCCAGAACAGGGACTGGTACATAGTACGTGCCCAGGAGATGTTTGTGGCATGAACGGATCCCCAAGAGGTGTGGCAGGGGCCAGGGCCAGGCCCACAGAGGTACAATCAGAGCAAGGCAGAGAACCCACAGGCTGTGTGGTTGAATTCAGCACTGCCCATCAGTCTTCTGTGAGTCACAGGAGAGGGGGAACTGCAGTGCCAATTATCTTATTAGGAGATCAACACTTCAAAGGTCCCTGGTCGGGATCATCCTGCAGGTTATAGAAACAACAATGGAGAGCACAGGGCCAGTTCCCCTGGCTCCATCCCCTGCCCATGTTCATCTGCAGCTCCCCTGGGGCCCATGGGGCAGGGGAATGTTGATGAGAGGGGCTTTGAGACTCATTCCCTTTCCCTCCTCTCAGTTTCAGGTAGATGAAGGCCCTCAGAGGCCTAGCCCCATAACTAAATCCCTTTACCCTCCCATTAACTCGAACTCAGGAACATGCTGACCTCGTCCTGACCCTCAGGCCTGCAGACTCTGTGGTCCCCTAGCTCCAGTGTGTCCCATAACCAGCACCCAGCACCCCCTAGTCTCTCATCTGCCCATCCTGCCATCTCCCACCATACCCTTTGGGGAATTCTCAGCACAGTGGGGGCCACTCCCAGCCCTATAGCCGAGCAGAGCTGCACACTACACACTGCATGCAGGCGTCCCTGCCACGTGTGCCGCCTTGAGGAGACTGTGCGAGAGTGGGGTGAAAAGAAGTGGAGGAGGAGGCCCCAGACCCCGAGGGAGACCCGCCCCTCAACTCCCACCAACCTGAGCTTTGGAAGCGCTGTGAGAATCCAGCTTCGAGAATCCAGTTTCTCTCCCAGAAACATCAGCACCTCCCTTGAGATTCTGCCATCTTTGAGGGCAGGGCCGCCCAGTGGAGGGGGCAGCACCTGAGGGGATGGGAGGCAAGGTTTCTCAGGGCTCTGGTCCAGCTTTGAGGAACAGGACCCTCCTAGGCCTCACCCATGTCAGCCTTAGTACATTCTCAGGGAGCCTTGGGTTTTTGGCCTCACCCCTACGCCAGACCCCTCACTGGATGCCAGAACCCAAATATGCCAGTAGAAGTGGGTGAGCCAGCTGAACAGCCCTGACCTCAGAGTGGCCGAATCCTCCCATTCCCCCT